TCAGAACTTATGATGTTGCTGCATCGCGTTGTGTTCCAGCAACAATCTACGGAGGTTTTCGTTACCCTCTTTGGCACGCAAGTGCAAGGGTGTATATTTCCCTGTATTTTGAATATTTACATCCGCGTTGTGTTCAAGTAACAATCTACAGAGGTTTTCGTTACCGATTCTGGCACACAAGTGCAAGGGTGTATATCCCCGTGTATCTTGAATATTTACATCCACGTTGTGTTCAAGTAATAATCTACAGAAGTTTTCGTTACTCTTCAAGGCACACCAGTGCAAGGGTGTATTTCCATCTTTATGTCGAATATTTACATCCGCGTCGTGTTCAAGTAACAATCTACAGAGGTTTTCGTTACCCTCTCTGACACACAGGTGCAAGGGTGTATATCCCCGTGTATCTTGAATATTTACATCCACGTTGTGTTCAAGTAACAATCTACAGAGGTTTTCGTTACCCCTCAAGGCACACCAGTGCAAGGGTGTATCTCCATCTTTATCTCGAATATTTACATCCGCGTCGTGTTCAAGTAACAATCTACAGAGGTTTTCGTCACTATTTCTGGTACACAAGTGCAAGGGTGTATATCCCCGTGTATCTTGAATATTTACATCCGCGTTGTGTTCAACTAACAATCTGATGAGGTTTTCGAGACCTTTATTGACTGAAAGGTGCAATGGTGTGAACCCATCACCACCCTGGACATCTACATCAGCTCCATGCCTTAAAAGCAAGCACGCTGCCATGTAGTTGTTCCACTCGTCAATTGCTAATACTAAAGGTGTAACTTTTCCTTTGGGCATTAACGTCGGCCCCTAGATCAATGAGGGTCTCAATAAACTGACTTGAGGATGAACGACTCGCCCACAACAAAGCTGTGTAATCATTGTCTGACGCTCGGGCATTAATATCTACACCGTCACTTAATACAAACTCCACTTCCTGTTCCACATCGTCATTGCATGTACCCCACTGAAGCTTAGTCAGTCTGCTGTTGTTCTCAGCCCAATTTTTATAAAATCTTTCGATACTGTAAGGACTTGATTTTGTTCCCAACACAAGTGATAAGATGTCAACCGCAGTTTTCCCAGGAAATCCTTTGGCGTTATTTCCCGTTTTTCTATGTTCCATCTCTTCTAAAAAATTCTCAAGAAGGCCATTAGCTTTTAAAACAATGTCGTATTTTCCCTCTAAGACAGCCGCCTGGAGCAGATTAAATCCAGATTGTTTATCCACTTACAAGAAGGCTTTTCTTGAGAGTTTCTTTAGACAGACCTATGATAAGAATGATCATGTTTTTGAGCGCAAATTAGAAAGAGAGAATTCATTTAGCACTACTTTCCTACAGATAATAGACTCTTAATGCAAATGAACAAATTTTACACAAAGTATGTTGGTTGGCTGCTATGGTTACACTAGCAATAGTTGACACTACAGCTGCCCCTGCTCTGTATATTGTATAAAGCATTTTTTTGTGCCCAATCAGGAGCCGGCATCCGCTTGAATTTTTGGAAATGGTCTGGTGAGAGTCCGTACCCAGGGGCTCTTTCGCCCTCACTTGAAAACTTTCTCCCCGCCTTTTCTCCGGACCCGACTGACTGCCCATGGGTCTCCGAGGATGTCGCGGCCCCTGTTCAAGCAAATCGAGATTTTTTCTGGCATACTGACTGTATATTTCAGCTGTAAGTACTTTCCTTAATATACGCGCGAGTTATTAGAGTGCCTCCTCGGGATTTCGCCTTCTGGGCGAAATCCCTGAGGGGGCAAATATACATTTTGTTTAAAATTATAACCAATTCAGAAACAGCAAACGCGCTGATATTTATATAGAAACTCGCGCATTAAAATGTTAATTATTGTTGTTCCTGGAAAACTATCAACACCAAAATTATTTCTGGAATGTTATCGTGTCAAGGGGAAAGAAGCCAACGAAGTGAGGGAGAAGTAAGCAGCATGCAGAAACGGTAATTATTTTGTGGTTTGAAGCTCGCTAACCAGTCCTTAATGGATTGATCATAAGACAATGAACATTTCCAAAATATTTCTAATTCTCTAGCTTTTCTGAGTTTGACAGTAATGATACTGAATTTTTAGCTGTCAGATGGGGAAAGGTTTTGAAAACAAGACTTTCTAGATTGCTCCTCCACCCTTCTAAACAACGTTGACTTTTCTTTGTTTCCTGCAGGTAGCAAGTGTAGGCACTATCAGCGAATTCGAAAAAAAATGGTCGTTGTGAACAAACGTTTCATGTGATTTTGGAGAACAGAATTTAGATGGTGGCTATTAATGAGGAGTTATTTGAATGAAACTACTAGGTCCCCACAGCGCCAGTCACACCCCATGATATCTCGATTACATTGGAAAGCTAATCCCAGGCTAAATAATACACTTCAGTTAAACTTTTGGCAAATCCTGCAACACAGCAAAAAACCAGTTGGAGGTAAATGTGGGGGTAAGGATTTGCTCGTTAAGTTGAGATGCACTTCCCAAACAGTAATAAAGTTTTCTTCCCTTCATACGATTGCAGTATATTAAAACACATCCCTAGATCCCTAGTGTGTCCAAAACAATTCAGAGAGAGCACGTGTATAAGACGCAATGCCAGAACCATGGACATCAATAACCAAGAAATATCATATACGATGAAAACTGTGTTGGACACACACGCGACCTTTGCTGGTGTCCGCTATTAATGGGTTCGTTTTACAGTAAGCTCACAGTAAATATGGGACGAAACGTTTGAGACAAAAATTGAGCAACTCATCCGCTTAATATGGTGTCCGTTTAATACAGGATCTACTGTACTGTGATCTTCGGATGGTCGTAACCGAGGGAATGAAGAAAATGTTCGTGTAGAGAAGAACCAATATAAGGTCTTCGCGATATAAGCTAGGATAAAAGCTCATACGACAATGTATAGGGTCCCACTGTAACGTTCAACATTATCAACAAACAATGGAATGGTGTTCTTGACGTTCAGCTTTTTGCAGAGGTGTACGTTGAAACTAAAAACATAACAAGCAGAGTACGTACTGTAATTCGTGTTACTTATCACTTGTTATTTACCAAGAAGAAATATTCCAACTAGCGGTATGTCTACATAAGGTATTGCAATAAAGAACTGTTCATTATCCTAAAGAAAAGGAAACCTTCATTTAGTGGACACTTAAGGGACCTTCGTTTACTGAAATTATAGGAAGAAATATTTGAAATATGCTGTGCCATTCGACTCTTTAATATTTCTAGTCTCCTCGGATAAGGACGATAAACCGTAAGCTCCGTCTCACCATTCTTGCACATATGGTAAATTCTACGGGACGTTAAAGCACTCTCACACTGTTCGGGGACGACGAGTCCACGGGGTGGTTGTAAATTATAGGAAAGGTAATTGGTAGTCAGAAACAGTATAGAAAAGTCTAGTTTCCCTCAGATTTCCCTCACATGGTAATGGCCGGAGTAACAGTTACAGGTGCAATGCAATTTATGCAAGCCCCGTCTTCACGATTACACTGCGTCTTGTTTAGGCCGGTCCCTAGAGCGAATAAGAGCAATTTCCTTTGCCTGCGCAACGAAACCTTCAATTCTGCAGAGGAAATCTTACGGTCACAGTTAAAAGTTTGCAAAACTAGACTTTCTGCCTTCTAAGGTTTTTTCAATTTTTTAATTAAATGATTTATTATAGCCCAATTTTCTCATGAATAACAAATAAAAACAACTAGTGTAGAAGCACAACAAAAAAACTAACAAATTAGGAACGTACTATTGAAAGTAAATGTAACACGGTAAGGACACAAAGATAAAATAGCAGTGATATCAACGCAGTCGTTAAATTTAATTTATCTGCCACCGTAAGAGATTCACACGCAACAACTTCCCTTGCCTCACTCCTCTCTCTCGGCAATATATTGTTTAATGTAAAAATAAAAACGTTCACTATCTCACCCTGTCTTTAGCTTTGACGTTTGCACCATGTTCTAACAACAGTATGACAATAGATTCCTGTCCATACCAACAGGCAAGATGAAGAGGAGTCAAAGAAAACTGAAGAAATAGGAAGAAAAAAAGCAATTAGAAAAGGGTGTGAACGGGCAGTTTGTCCAGCAATAATGATGGTCTTTCATAAAATAAATCTAGAGGCTGTCACTGGACCAATTCATTTTCTTCATTTTACAAGGAGGGGGCCAAGTGCAACATTAAAACTGAGCCCAAATGCAACGTTTACAGGCCACTTTCCATTAGGAATTGGTGGAACAAGGCTATCTGTTTACGTTCAGAACTTCGCTATGCTGGGGGGAAGGGGAGGGGGGCGGAGTAAATGAGCGCGCCGTCGGCCTCAGGTTAGTTGGTCAGATGTCTGTTTTGAGCTACCGACGTAAAAGAAGGACTTTTTCTTTTTCCTTTTCACGGCGGGTCACTTTCCCCCAAGTTCAAAGTCCCCTTAACTTTTCATCGTTACAGACTCGTATATGTTGTAGTTAATTTGTAAGCTCAGGTAATTTTTATTTTTCTTATGTTTCAACTTCATTAGCTAGCGTACATTACCATAAACAATAGAAAAACAAAAACATAAGTGAGATAAAAAAATAACTACAACATATAAAATTGTTAAAGTAGTTTGAATATGATCGTCTGGGTGCGTGAAGTACCGAATATAGGTCTGTTGGTGACAGAAGTTGGCGTTTTCTACACCCTGTATCGAAGCGATTATCAGAATTTCCCTTGACTCTTATGTAGACTTCTGCACAGGTTATTAAAATGTCAGTGTGGTCAGCAGTTCTATTCAGAGCTACACTTACTCGACATACTAATGACAGGATTCATGGGTTCACCCAGTTACACCATTAAAAACTTTAATATTTTGCTCTTTACCCTTGAATTTAATAGGAAACACCATCAGACATTGAAAGCAAAACACTCGGGTAAAGAACATGGCCTTAAATACTGCATTTTAGGGGTAAACAGTTTACTCTTGTTTGATGGAGTACTTTGGAAGAAAATTGCCTAAAGTCTTACAGAGAACTTTTTCGTGCCTATTTTTAAAAAGACACATAAAATGAAAGCTAATCCGAGTACGTGCTGAAACTATCAGCAAGTACTGGATTATAAAAGGTAAAGACGTTAAGAGTCTGTTTTAACGAAAATGCGCTAAAAACAGAATTTTGTGGTTTTCCTGTCCTGTTGTCAACGATTTGTCACTACCGGCCAATCAGAATGCTGTTTTCGTTCATGAACGCAAGGAATACAATTATACTCAAAGGCGTTCGTGCAGGCTATAGCTTCTAATAGCCGCCAGCCGGAAAGATGGCGCAAACCCAAACACAAGCGCTTGCTCGTAATCTACAAAAGCAAGAAACGAGTGCATAAGAACCCACGAGCATTAGATTAACAAAGACCGGGCAAGACAAAAACCTGATCACTTTGATCCACATCTTCACCACTTTCAAGAAGCATTTTGACCGTCTCGTATTGTCCACTGATTGCGGCCTTGTGTAGGAGGCCTCTCGATGCCTATTTTTTTAAAAAATAACTTTTATCAGAGTAAATATAAATGTAAAGGATTACTTAATCCCAAGAGAGTAAACCCTCTCTTGAAAATCCTGTAGGTATTGCGGGAGGTTGCTAAGCACGAAAGAAGCGTAAGAGTAGCACGAGTGCGATAGCCAAGTGCGACTCTAGCTTCTTGAAGCAATTGCATTAGGAAAAACTTGTCTTCCATAAGGCTTAATAAAACCTAGAAATGTATTATCTTTGAAATACTGACCTTTTTTATGATGAAAAAAAGTTTAAGTTTTTGTGTAGTGTTAATGATCGATAGGGAAATTTTCCAGGGTTGTCAGTAAGGGTTGGGGGCAAGACATCTGACTTAGATTTGGTACTAGTCCACACGCGCGAAAACTCTCCGTTCGCGAAATGTCAGTAGGGAGTTTTAGCAACGACGACGGCGACAGCAACGAGAACGTCAAAAAAGCAATAGGTTTATTGAGCAAAACAACTAGTTTGCACGTGCATCACGCTTTTTTGTACATTTCTTTGCCGTTACTGCACGACTACGACTTGAAAATGCCTAGTTTCGCGTTTTATGGAGGACGTAAAACAAGCGACGACAAACTTTTCTTTCTCTTTCTAAACTTGAGTGCGCCCAAAGAAATCAACTCCAGGGAAATTGGCCTACATTAGCTATTTTCAGCGAATTGAAATAAACGCGACAAAGTTGGAAAAAACGCCAATTCATTTTTAAAAGTGACGTTTTCGCTGCCGTCACCTTTGTCGATGCTAAAAGTCCCTAGTTTCAACCGTTGTGTAGGGTTTGTGTTGAACATGTCGAAGAAGTTGTTGACATCACAAGTTGAGGCATCATCCGAGGGTTAAATCTCCCTGATGCTGATGTTGATGATAATTAGGATTATGATGAAGGCTTTGGAGATGAAGACTATGACTGATTGCCATGTTTAATATGTGGACATTTAAGTGACCAGGTCTACATTTAGCTTTAGGTATCGAGTATATCAAATAACGCACGGTCAACGGGAAATATTCGATCATTGTCCACAGGCCATGATCACATGCTCTTAGTTCTACTTCCAAGAAGTTATATACAAAAGGGAAGTTAAGTATTAGCATTACTTTTACATTCTTCTCCTTGAGTCTCGTTTTGACATCTCAGCGTCGTTTATAAAGTATTTGTGCCCCTCACCATACGAACGTCTGTAAAATTTTGCAATTTTGCAGAGCTATACCTTCGCTCGCTAAAGATGTATCACTTTCAAATTTGGCAATTTTACTAATTTTAAGAGGCACTCTTTTCAGTGGTGTCGACGGATTTTCTCTGACTGGTCCACATAATAAGTTGAAAAGGTCTATTATGCAAACTCTATGTTTTTTATCGAAATGATTTGGCCCCCATCACAGGAAAAAATAACAGATTCCCATTTTTGGATACTTTAGGGTATTTAAAGAATACCCACAAAAATCCCAAATTTGGAAGAGTGAGACACTCTGGTTGAGAATTCCCTGGTTGGGACACTTTGCCAAATTTGGGATTTTTATGGGTATTCTTTAAATACCCTAAAATATCCAAAAATGGGAATCCGTTATTTTTTCCTGTGCATTGATTGCACCTAAATGGTAACAAAGCTGTTTATTTCTTTTAAAACGTTAGCTCACTAGTGGGGGGTTGAAACAAAGCCGGAAGTCAGTCGATTGTCATGAACATTTACACTATTTCATCTCGGCTAATGCTGGTTAATGTTATATATATAGTTACTATAAAAAGGAGTTGAACAACATTTTAGGTGAAAAGAATTTTTCTTGGACTTCTTTACAAGTTAACGCAGTCTTAAGCTTGTATGCTAACTATTTTGCAAAACAGAAAGCCTGGGAGTCTGTTCTGATCTCATTACAGATCAGCAAATTTTTCTGCAGATTTATTAGCAAGGGGAAACCTTAAGGAACGAAAAAGGCGATTCTTACCCTGCTACAGCTCCAAGATTAGCTGTTCGTATCTTTCTTTCGACGTTCTTTAAGTAATATCTCCTTCAATCTGACTCATAGAATCCGGACCGACACCGCCATTTACTATCCTCAGGTATCTTATCTATGTATGCTAAATGAAGTGCCCCGACAGATGTCCCGCGGGGGTCTCAATTAAGGTCTTAAGGGTTAACCGATGGGCGTAAATAGACGGCAAAACAGTCGTTTTTTTCTCAAAATCAGTAAAGAAATCGGTAAAGTGTGGCGTAAGAGTGTGTGAGGCGAGAGAAAAAAAACCGACTGTTCGTTTTCCATATACTGTAATGAGTTCGTTCAGACCAGGGTGTTCAAAATGGTCGTCGAGCGTCTCTCCCCCAGTCTCGCTCTCTGTTTTCACCCTCGTTCCAAACCTTTTGTTTGAGTGCTCGCGCGTACTTGAATACGCAAAAATACGGACTGTTTTGCAGTCTCCGCGTAAAACGGCCAAAAAATTTTGTCGATGGTCGTAAAAATTGAAAAATTTTCACCGCTAGCCGTAAATAGGGTAAGAAGAGTTAACCGTCAAAAAATTTTGCTCCTTAGATTTGATAATTTTGAGGAAGGTGCTAAACTCACTTCGACCGGTTGTATTTCTTATTACGCGGCTACTTTGACTCTGTACGTTCGCGTTTCTGCTAGTTTTGCTTTTCACGAAAATTCTTTTCAAATAAAAAGGTTGAATGGCAATAGCTTAACCTTTTTTTTCTATTTTAAACAAAGAGTCAGTCATTTTAAAAGAATGAAAAAACTCTCACGCGGCAAAGATCCCTATAGACGTGTACTTCTTTTAACCCAGCGATCCTAGAGCGCGTGGTAAGATGGCGGGTATCGTGAATAAGGTCTATTATTCTTGTTATACCACACACAACCCATAATTCCTTGCTCAGTAGTACTAGGCGTCAGTAGTGGTCTCAAAGGATGCCGCCGCCGCCTATTGTTTCAGGCTATTGTTCTCAGTTGTCAATCAAATTAAAAATTCAAAATGGCGCCCGAGAGCAAGAACGTTCTAAAGATCAGGGAATCACCAATTGTTGACAGTTTAATCATGTCGCGCGACGAAAAAGACGTAAGGGTTTATCGGAACCTAGCCAAAAGCGAAGCAAGATCCAGACTGAAGGAGAGGATTCTGGAACAAATGATCTTATCCGTGGATTATTTAGATAATTTCCACGAATCATTCATGATGAAACTCGAACACCTAGAATGTGTGTGTCTAGTTAACGCGTTCCAGTGAATGGTTTTGTATGTTAATTCATGTTCGCTTGGAATTTGCATGAAAACTCGTAGAGTCTTAGAGAAAAAAGAAGACCTGAAAGAAAGAAAGATTTGAACCTGTAAGCTTAAACTAAAGTTACCTGGCGTCAGTACTAAGACTTAACGCGTTGCGCTAAGCCCGTTCCCGACGAAAGTTGACTACAAAATAAAGAAGTCTTTCTGAATATTGGTCATGACTTTTATTGATGTGGTGGTTCCTAAAAGAACCGTTTTTGTCATAAGACAATTAGTGGGATCTGTTCTTCCTACTTAGGAATTGTGAATAGAACGCCCAGTTAAATGGGTAGGCTGAGATTATTTGCCATTTCTCGCCTGGTACTTTCTCAGAATAATACACAGCGATGTGTTTGGCAGGGAAGCCTTCCGGATCTGTACCAATTTGCCGGTTTAGTTTAAACACGAACAAATAAAAGCGTCCATGATATTCGTTCCATCCCTCGTGTATGACGGACACGTCTTCGCTGTTTTCTTCCCAGGTGAGTTCGGAGACAGTCTTTAACAAATCGACTAAATCAATTTGTGACTCAAACTTCGACGCTCTCACATGTTCATGTTTTAAAACATGCCTCTCGTTGATATGATCAGCTTGCTTTTGTGTCAGGAACGTTCCCTCGGTTTCAAATGGCAAAGCCATGGTTGAAAATAAAATTTTTTCTGGTTCATCTTAAAACAGATTGCAACACAAAAGACTCAAACTTGAAAAAGAGCGAAAAGGGTTATTGTTTTTGCCGCCCGCCGTTCAACTAAAAAGAGCAGCGAACTTTTTGCCGCGAAGGTTCAAAAACTTAAAAGAACGGCGAAAAATTAAATGGTTTTTTACCGCTCCACTTTAATTGTCCCCGCACCAATCAGCGTGAATCTCCCATGAACAGCATAAAGGTAGANATAGCTTGTGAACTTGACATGATAAATGCAATATCTGCTGCAGATATTGCATTTATCATGTCAAGTTCAACGTCTGCCTGGTTACCAAGCCCCTTGGAGTGTTCTCCTCAGAAACAGAATGGCTGAACGCTTCGCTTCTGTTTCTGAGGATGAATTATAAACAATTATTGTTTTAAAAATGTATAATAAAACAATTATTGAATTCGGTTTTCGCATGATATCATGAATTATCAAAACCTCGTGTCTGTATTATCTGCCTCAGCCTTCGGCTTTGGCAGATAACACAGACCTCGGTTTTGATAATTCATGATATCATGCTCAACCTCATCATATGATTGTTTAATATCTTTATTTACTTAGATTCAACAATTTTGGCGGAGACACTTCAACAGCATGACTCACTGCGAGCTCCTGCAGTCCCCTACGCTCATGAGAGATAACCTGTGTACATAGACTCCCCCTTCCCTCGGGAAAAATCCGATTTTCCCTGAGGGGAGGGGGGGGTCTCTACACGGACTACATGAGACATGGGGTCTAGGTTCCCTACTCCTTTTGAACACCAGTGTGGGTTCTTATACGTTGTCCCTTCCAATTGGTAAGACTCAAAAGGATGAAGGAGACAAGGCTAATGGTTTAGTGTCACCTCTCAATGACGCAATCATCTGAGACATCTAAGGCAAGATCTTAAATGCTTCATCGTGTACTATCTATCAATCAATCAATCAATCATTTATTTTGACACGTTACGTCGTGGACCTAAAAAGAACTCGTTCAAAATACGAGCGTGTATAAATAAAATCTATAATAATTACAGCTATATTATAATATTATTCTTACTA